GACCACGATACTAATAAAGCTTCAACCACCTATTACTAGATTATTACAAACACTAACACCTAATGCACTCCTACTAACATCTCCTAGAACAATCTCCCCAATCCCCACGCAACCCTTCCAGTCAACGAAGATAACGAAAGAAAGCGCGAGAAGTTCGAAGAATTCTTATATTGCAATTAACCGAAAACCTGAATGCACTGTTCTCGTGGACGATCGAAAAAAAGAGTACGGGGAAAAAGGAATTCCTGTCGTGACAAATAACGGGAGCAGGCCAGGCGTGCCGTCGCCGAAAATAGTGTCCCGCGCGGCGGAGAGGACTGCAGACAGAATGAGAGAGAGAGAGAGAGAGAGAGAGAGAGGGCACGCGAGGAATTTCCAAAGAGTACGCGTGCGTTCGCGTGCGCGGTGCACGCGAGAGTGCGGCGGTCTCTCTCCCGTTGCCGATTTGTCGCAAGCCCCGCGGAGCCGCGCGTGCGTCCGCACGAGCGTGTCCAGGTGTGCGCGTGTATCACAGCCGGACGGGCCGGCCGTCGTGTCGGTACGCGCCGGCGAAACTGACCGGAGAGGAAAATCTTGTGAATGGAGCGGGGTTCCCCATTCACTTTTAACCAGAGCGCCGGCTGCGGTACGCTCGAACGGTGGCTGGCCCATCAGCCTTTTGCCTTTGCCGCTTGATATCGTTGTAGAAAGATTAGATAGGGGGATAAGGACTAGCAATCTGCTCTTGTCGAAAGACAGACGATTCAAGTAATAAAAAAAGTGACGGGAGCAATGGTACTTTAGGCGATGATCAATGAGATAGAGGTATTAATCCTTTGCACTCGAAAGTTTTTCATTAGAAATATCCACCATTTTCCGACGAGATACAGACGATATTGTTTGAAAGTAATTTAACGATAATTCACAGATAAATTAAGCAACATTTTATTTAAATATTTCACATAGCAATACAAAGTTTAATTCAAAATACCAAATATTCAATTTCATTGAATTACTTGATTCGATACAGTAAAACTAAGTGGTGACTGAGAGTCACCTCTCGAGTGCAAAGGGTTAAAGAGTCAAAGAGGTTGAAATGGAATGATGAAGATCAGTTCTGTTTTGTTATGGTCTTTGGACAGTTTGGGCTTAGTGATTTGAATATTTTGATATTAATGAAGGTAATTAAATAAAACGCTAGAACTATTCAGTATTTAATACGATTAATATGTAATCCTTATGAAAATTACAATATTTTCAGATTCTCCAGAGATTCGTTATAGTATTCGAATGAAATTATTTTCAAGAGCATTTCAGATATTGAATGCTCTTAAGATAATTATGGAAAACAAACGAATGGGAAGAAGTTATTTTGATTGAGCTCATTCTTGTATGTCATTATGGTAGGGATGCGTTGTGTTCGGGAAAGACTTGGAATACTTTTTGTAGGGTAAGTTGAGAACCACTGGCGGGGATATTACTCGTATATCTACGATGTCCAGATAGCTGCGCCCATCGAACGCAATTAGCGTAAGCGTAATTTATTCCGAGGCCCGTCCGAAAGAGATTAGAATCTCAGACGCGAATGATCCCCGACGCCATTTACGCTGAATGATATTTTTCTAATGAATCGCCGGCTTATTCCGGAGGATAATGTTACGCTGTCATTTTTCCATGCAGCCTCTTCTACCCAGCAGAAAATAGTTGCGACGGTATTGTTTAAGCGCGCTCGCTTGCCTACTAGTTTTCTTAACCGCCTCATTTGCATTCCCGGAACCTGTGTATCAAGACATAATATGCAAATGTCCTCCGATGCCCCCCTCTCCTCGCCCCATCTGCCTCTGTACAAGAGTTCGTGGAGTATCCAACCCATCCGGCGCCTCCTTTCGCCTTATTATCGTTGTTTATTCGAATTTTCACTCTCCGTTTCCATTAATCTCTTCCGCTTTCTCTATTGTGCGCCGCGATACGACACGAAAATTCCCCAAACGATTACACGATTGTTCGCGGGGATTACGCTTTGCCCGATGCGCGGGAACCGACATTGTTCCATTGAGTTATGAAGGAAAATCTGACCTTTCCGCGCCGGTCAATCGTTCCCGCCATGTTTTCGGCGATCGTTCGTTTCGCGAGCAGCAATGCACCGAGAATTTATCTAATGCCATGTATTGTTCTTCAATTAACAACATAAAAGACTAAAATTTCGATCAGAGATTATAATCTTCTCAGCGGAAATTCAATATTTATATGCTCCGTAGTACATTGAATAGTAATATTCATTTAAATCCTGTTCTTCGATCTGAAAAATTACTAGTTTCCGCTCGAATACGAGTTCCCTCGCGATTACCGAGCTCGCAAGTGCAACCAATGAACAGTGTTCCCCGGTCAGATCTCTAGTTTGACAACTGTTCACGAAAACCACGACAAATCGGCCGGCGAACCCGATTTATCGGGCGGGATCGCGAGCCCGGTTTTCACGGGAGGCCGTGCACAGCCTTTCGAAACCGGCCACGGAGCCGATTATCGCAAAAGTGCATCTCTGCTAAGTGTGCCTAAGTACATCCAGGTACATCGAAACAGTCCGGCCGGGTATCTAAGCGGGCAGAGGTCTCGCGTTTCGCGCGCGTTCCCTATCGCGCCGCGATCTCGCGTCCCTTTGTCTTTGTCCGTTAATCTTGATCGTCTTCGCGCTTCGCGGCGATCCCTGCCCGGACTTTGCATTGGCAATTCAATCATCGGCGAATTATCGTCCGCGGATCGACGCTGATCGGACACGTATATCGCCGCGAATTATCCGCCCGGCGAGCAGCAACACACGCCCGAGTGTCGCTGGTGATTTCAATGCCCGATGGGGCGCGATCTCTGCTCGATCGCCGATCGATCATGCTTCTTTAGGTGGTGCCTGATAATGGAACGATTAAAGTGGGATTACATGATATATATAGCAATCTAAATCTCGTCTGCCAAGTTTGCCAACGTGTAATTTACTGTACTGTGGCGTATTTAATTGAAAATTATACTCTTCTTCGTCATGTTTCGAGCTAAAATTTCTTTGTAGCTTAGATTTCTAGAGTTCACTGTTTACATTGAGTTAAGTAGATAGCTAAGGTTTTTTTAAAAGAATATTTGTATTTTGAAAACAGATGAAGAAAAATAGAACGTCGATCTTGGATTATTCGTAAGGTCTTTCAAGCGTTGTATAATAATGCACGAGGAAAATGGGACTCCGTTTCTATCTAATGTTTACTTCTAGGAACTTTTTGCAATTCCTTTCAACAACGAGACCTGCAATTGCGAAACGCAGTTAATGGAGATGGATCGTTCACGGTATTGAAAGAAACGAACGATTCTATTTTTCCTATGTCCTTATCGCACGGATATCATTTACGATGTCCAGCCGTTAGAAGTTCATCTAGTCAGGAATAACGTCGGTTGCATTGTGATGCAGTTTCCCGCGGCGCGAGGATCGTTCTACGAACGATTTATTTGTTCCTAGCTGTTGCACGCCGATACATTAATCACCTCATTTGCCTTTTAAGTGTGTTTTAAACGAGCGGAGGACAGGTGAGTCACCGGCGGACTTTGAGAAAATTTATTGGGACTTTTATGGCGAGGCGACTTAAAAATAGACCCGATGCTTCAATGACAAGGTGGAAAAAAGGGTACGGAATACACCGAAATAAATATCTCTTGAGCACCGAACGGCCGGGCGTAAGTACGTGCGATATGACACGTCCTCGATTATTTCATCATTCGAACGATGTCGATTTTTAAAGTGATTTAATCGTTAACCGGTATCGCCATATAATGAAACACAATATAATTGTTTGGTTCAATGAAAGATAATATTATCCGCGTGATAAAAGGTGACGTATAGCCAGCGATACAAAACAAAACAATACATTCCGCGTAATCTCCATATAGTCTGTACATTAGGAGTCATAAATTAAGTGGGGATAATATCGATTCCCGAGTGGGAGATAAATGATATTCAAGTGACCCTTAGTCATCGCGACGGCACCGATAATTCACGGTAAATAAATATTTTCTAACCAAACATTTGCTTGCGGTAAACTTTGTGTATCCTACTTAATCGGACTGTTTCCGTGTAGAACGGTTATTAACACGTTCCTCGTATTTCCGAGCATGACAAGTCATGCCGCCCGGAAACTTATCTCCCATCTTCCTTCCACCGAACGAGATAAAGTACGAGTCGCCGAGCTAATTGTCTCTGACTCAATGAACCCGGCCCGATCTATCCGAGCCACGCGATAATCTATGACATGCTCGTCGAATCTCGGCCGGAGCCTCCTTTCTACGGACACGCGAAGCGAAACAATACGTTTTTTCCTGGATAGAAAGGAATCCGACCTATCATCTCAACCTATTCAACTGTCACTCGACAATGGAAAAATATTTTCTGCCTTCTGTTGGAGAAGGAAAAAAACGGTAAGGATAAATATCCGATTGTATCGGGGAAAATCTCTCGTTTGAAATATATATTGTGTTTTCGTAGGGTAAATAACGCTTTTTCATTCGTTAAAACGGAAATTACGTGCCACTCGAATCGACACGTGAATTATTTCTACGCTTTGGTCAATAAGCAAACATTTTTATCTGAAATATTCGGGTGAATTGATAAGAAAAGGTTGATCAATATTTAAAACCATGTTTGAGGTTTAACAGACAATTTTTTAAATATTCACGAGGTTGATAATAGCACTACAATTTAAATATTCAAATAAGTAACGACAATATGTCATTACACCACAGTACAACAATCTTCATATTTTATTTACCAACTAAGACAATTTAATAAATTCTCGAAATCCACTGACAACTTCCTCGTCGTCATTCCCATCAAAATCAAACTCTCTACTTCACTGGAAGCTACAGTGATCATCGATCAACCCTTAACTCTCATCAATTCCCGCCCTCGTAATTATATCCCTAGATCCAAAAACCACCCTAGACGGTGTACAAAAATCCTTCAAACATGAAAACTGACAGTATTCACTCACCTCGGCCAAACGTGTCCACCAGAGAATTCCTTCCCCTTCACGTATCCCTGAGAGGCACAACACGCGGCGAACAGTCTCGCATCGACGAACGATTTAACCCCGAGAATCGTCCCGATCCGTTCGCGGCCGCGTTACCGTGTCTCGCATCGAGCGACGCGGTGTCCCGGACTCTCGTTATTGCACGCGGATCGATTAACCGTACATTTGCGAGTGACAGCTCGCTTCGAGTGTTCACCGGCGGACAGACAGAGAAAAAAATATATTGTCGAAGGAGAAGGGTGGAAAAACAGAGAGAGAGAGTGAGAGAAAGAGAGAAAAAGAGAGAGAGAGAGAGAGGACGTCGACGTACAATCGCGGTCCTTTTTTTTCTCTCACAGTACGTCGTCAGACAACGCGGACGTCATACGCGATGATCCGGTGTTTTTGTTTTCAAATCTCGATGCAGTTCACGCCTGGCGGGCTGCACTCGTACCCCATACTCACGCCTCGCGTCCCAACCAGAGACTAAAGCGCCTGGTTGCAGTCCACCCGTATAAATGCTCCGCCGCAGCGTGAATGTAGTCGTTGGTTAGTCTAGGGACTTGGTAGGGAAGAGATTCTTTCAGTGGTCGGACGTTCGGCGGCGCCACTGCACGATCAGGGAATCACTGAAATAGGAAAACCACCCCTAAGTTGAATCTTCTCAGGGTGTACGTGGCAAGTTTCGTGGAACTAGATCATTCGAATGTAGCGATGATATTAATTCAAATTAGTATCGGTTGACCGAAAGAGAAAGATACAAATAGCTTTTTTTAATAGAATAAGAAGGGTAGAATATGTATGTTTAATATGATTGTTTGTTATACTTTGAAAAGTTCGGTTGTCACTAGATTATTTTTGAGATCAATAATGGAGCTGATTAGGAGAGTGTATCGATCGAAGGTAAGACAGATATTACCATTCAGATTGGAGAAGTTTCAGCCGGTTCTGTAAAGAGGGCGGCACGCTTAAGTTCGTGGCGGTTCTATGAATTTCTCTGAAAATTTCCAAGTACAAATTAAACAAGGTAATAACTTCAATGAACATTCGGTAATATTCAATACAATTTTCAATTTCATATGATCTCACCTGCAATCCTATTATTTATGAATTTCTTCAAAATAATCGGCGGTCGTTTAAAACGAAAAGAGGCTCGTCGAGTTGTCCTTCGGCGCACCTTAAAGAAAATTTCCAATTATTAATAATGTCCAGTTCCGTACATTAAAATTTCAATTGAATCGATTCGTCAAACGATTATCGATGATAATCCTTGAATGAAACATTCCGTTAATATATGCAGCTGAGCAAAATTGTTACAAACTTGTATTAGCAATTACCGCGAAGCAAACACATTTCACCGCAAAAATTCGCGGGATTTGCATATATCTCGTGTCGTTAACGTCTCAATCGCGCAATTAAAATCCCAATAAAAAGAAGATATGCGGACGCGAAGGTCGGCGCAAATTGGGCAGCCGCTTTCTCATTTCAGCGAGCAGCTGCGGCGAACGTGTATGGGACGAAGTTTATGGTGAATCGCCATGGAAACCCATGGAGTACACAGAGCGCTACGAATTGCTGTAACACTGTTACACCGTGACGCGAATTGTCAATCACAAAAAACGCACGCTAATTTACACGCGCGTTGATTAATCGCTTCGTGAATAATTCATTGCATTCATGGGTGGTGGTAAGATTCGAGAGAAAAATGATTCCTCGAGGAGGAGAGTGTCCTCAGCGGAAAGAGACCTATACCTGAAACCGTTGCTGAAACTGAAGCAACAAGAAGGTGTGATCGAAAGAGGACTGACAACTGCGATCGAGAACATGAGAATCGAACCAAGTTTGTTGCAAGATATCGTTCATAATTACAGGGATCTGGCTGCTAAAAGGTATTCGATTAATATTGTAACGTTATAGTATTCAATTATGGGAAAATTTAACTTTCAATAAAGACTCCTCGATCGACTCGATATTTTAGGGAGAAGTTTCTAAAAGGAATACACAGAAACATGGAGGAGATCGATAATGATTTGAAGTTCGCTAAAAATACGACGAGAAATCCCGACGAAATAAAAAATTTGGGTAAGCAATGTCGCTCTCCGAGGTTTTCTATTTTCCCTACGAAGAATATTGTACGCTGAATGTGGAAAATGATAAACTTTGTGTTCATGTTTAGATGTAAACACGTACAGACTAAAATTGTTCAAACTTTTGCAAAAAATCCAGGATTTGAAGAGATCCTGCTCCGTTCGTGAGACATTGGCGCAGGAGCAAACCGTGCTCGATAACGAGTTACGAGATTTTGAACCGCAGTTGCAAAAGTGTGAAAAGTTACAGAGAAATGCATTATCGTCGTCTCAAGGTAGATTGGAAAATAGAAAAGAAAAGCTGGATTACTCGAATGTGCAAGATTTTCACGTGTTGGTGGCGAAAACAGGTAACGGGGAATCTTACAAATACATTGTTTTCTCGAGATAGTCAGTGCCTGATTATTGTCATTATCATTATTTTTATAATTTCACATATTCGATCATCAAGGATCAGAAAACGTTTTGTAACAGGACACACAGAAAACTGGAGCATGGACGATCATCTGTTTTTCCTGAGAATGCGTCAGAAATGTGAGAATATCCCCGCGTTGGTCGCTGCCATTCAGAAAAAGTGTCCTGATTTATCCACAGAGACCATAGTGAATCACGAAGCTTGGTACAAACTGTACCTAAGTCTTCGAGAAAAGCAAAAGCACGCTGTGGAAGAATGGCGGAAGAAGAAGGAACTAGAAAAAACGAAGCCTACCGAAGAAACAGAGAGAAATATTGAGAATTCCATCATAGAAGACATTAATTTCAAAGAAGACATCGAAGACAGCAAAATGATATTTCAAAAAATGAAGAAAGAACCAAAAAGATGCGTGACAAGATCGAGCGGCAGCGCGGCATCGATTAACAGCGACAAGAAGGAGATGATTAGAAAATGGCGGACGGAGAAGGAGAACAAAAGCAAAATGGACGAGGAACAAATGAAGCTTCGAATGAAGTTGAAGCGCGAGACGGAGGAGAATGAACGAAAAAAGAAAAAAGAGAAGATTCAGGGAGCCTTGGAGGAATATAAAAAGAAGAAAGCTCTCGAAAATGCGTCGAGAGAGTCCAGCGCCAATTCGAAAGAGAAGTGCACATACGATTCCTCGTTGATTAAAGCGTTTAGGTAACATGAAGTAACCCACTAATCGATACATAATTACTCTGAATAACAATAATTCCAGGGAACAAGACAAAGAATACACGAAAAGGAGGAAAGACCGAATATCGCAGACTCAGAGATTGAACAAAATGGAGATACCGACGACGAGAATGTCGGAGTTGCTGAAAAGAGATTTCTCGACGTTGCTGAACAGCACGGTCGTCTGGAGAGAGAAGTGCAAATCGGAGAACACGCTGAACCGGCCTGAACCGTTGCAATACATCAAAGACGTGCCAAGAATGTGAGTAATCGTGGAATTAATTAAATTATCATTTTTATTTACACGTGAACTGTGTTACAGGTGTATTCGATGGCGGAACGAAGAGTCGGGTGATCCGAAGGATGTGTCGACGTACGGTTGAACGACGCGAACGCACGTCAACGTCGCAGTTACAGTGATTTATTGCACTCGGTACATTTTGAATCAGTCATGTTACACGTACAAAGATTAAAAATATGTATAAACGTACGCAATGAAACCGGGTTTATCGTCTTCGTCTTCTTCTTCATCTTCTTCATCTTTTTCTTCCTCTTCTTCTTCCTCTTTCGTTTTGCTAAGGAATTTTGTGGGATCTCTCGGTTACAATTTCCGTCAACGATATGTCACCAGTCCCGCCAAGAAATATCTCATCATGGATCGTTACAATCTAAAATAGTGAACCTTTCGACGCGTTCCTTAGTTAGCTTCTATCGCGAAATTACTTTTTTTTATTTACAACAGTTGTACTTACTCGACATCCGCGGACAATCACGTGCGACCGTCTACGGGGGGGGACCGATTATTAAACATCCCTAGAAACACGCCGAGACAATTATATTTATATATTTATATATTTATAGACACGTTCTCGCCCGTCGATGATGGGAAAGAAAACAGGAATAAACCGATTGATACATACTTAATTGTTTATTTTTTTTTTCTTTACGAACGTACCGGTTTCTTCAGACGATGTACATAATAAGTTATTGAGTAAACGAGGATTGGCCTTATCCAGGCGTGTCTCGACCGAGAAAATGGACCTGCGGAAAACCTCGATTCCCCGGCGAACCCTTGGCTTTAATATCTCCTAAGCGGTGAAACGTAAATGAAAGAAGGAACGAAGAAGCCCCGTTTTGTTATAAAGACGATCGTTTATTGTTCCCGTTTGACGATCATGGATAACGCCAAACCTCGGCAAATTCATTTTACTCAAATATATAATATACTTTCTATTAACCTTCTGTTCGTTAATTCGATATCCATCTCTCTCTCTCTCTCTCTCTCGCTCTCTTTCTCTCTTTCACTGTCTCTCCCGCACGTTCTCTCTCCGTGTCTGACACACTCTCATTCTCTCCCGCTCTCTCGTTCTCCCACGTTAGATTACCAAATACAAAAAACATAGGTGATACAATTATATTTATATTTATATATGTATAATGTTATAATACAAATGTGCCTCCGTACCACGCCGAGTACGATTGATCAGAGTGTCCTAGTTTTTCTCTTCGACTCGTCGTTATCTTTGCTTTTTTTTCCCTCGTTTGTTTTATTTATTTATTTATCTCTCTCTCTCTCTCTCTCTCTCGCTCGCTCTCTCTCATCCTCTCCCACTCTCTCTCTTTCTCTCTTTCTATTTCGTAGTAATTTTACGTTCACGTGTACACTCGACTGCACAGATATCGTTTTTTATCACCTCTCCTCCGTCCACGCTATGTATACATACATATATACCAGCCTATATATGTATATATGCACATAGAAATATATAACTGTTTAGAATTTATAATGTATACCTTCTAGAAGTTTATTACAACGAACAATAAAGTGTTTAATGAAAAACGCTCCAACTTGTCCCATACGTTCGCACGCACTCGGCCTCGTTCTCTGTCCCCCGATTCATCCTCCTTCGATCGCGCCCCCTTCCGCCCCTTTGTTTTTCTCCGGAACTGACACATACGCACACATATACTTACAGACACACACACATATCACGCACAATGCAA